TGGTGGTGGGACCCAGTTGGAGGAAGTGGGTCATTGGGAGCCAGTCCTTGAGGCATATTATTCCTGGCTCTTCATGCTCATCGCCTTTCTCTGCTTCCTGTCCATCAAGTAAAGAACATCTGTCACATGCTCCTGCCACCATGATGCTCTGTTAAAGTGCATCAGGTCAAGTGACCATGGACCAAACCCTCTGAAACTGTGAGCCAAAATAAATCTTCCCTGGGTCCAGTGAGAGGGCATAGTGAATTCAGTCCTCAGGTTCCACATGGTGGAAAGAGGACCAGCTCTTGCAATTTTTCCTCTCATCCCCACACACACTGTGGCATGTATGCCCACCCCAGGAAATAAACAATGTAAACACATAAGCCTTCTCTCCCTTGAATTTTTCATCAGGGACTATGGTCACAGAGAGGCAATAACACATCCCTTCATTATGATAAGAAGTGGGTGGAGTTCCAGCTGTCGTGTATGGCCACAGCTCATAGGCAGTGGAGCTGAGTTTGAAACCCAGATCTTTTGTCCAGAAGTGTTACAGAAATCCAAGGTTCCTACTTATTGTGGCTCTATCAAAGGCCCAGGAAACAGAAATTACTGGAGGGAATAGGTTTGTTCAAAGCTGACCTTGGGGTTAGGAGTGTAGCTTAGTGGTAGAATGTTTGCCTAGCTTGTTTGAGACTCTGGGTTCTATCCTCAGCATTGCAAATAAATAATAATAACAATAATAGGACTGGAGAGATGGCTCAGTGGCTAAGAGCACTGGCTGCTCCGGAAGAGGACCCAGGTTTTGTTCCCAGAACCCACATGGTGGTTCACAATTGTCTGTAACTCCAGTTCCAGGGAATCCAACACCCTCTTCTGGCCTCTGTGGGGTATTTCATGCATATGGTGCACTTACATGCAGGCAAAACACTCATGCACATAAAATAAAAATAATTAAAAGGTAAAAAGTCTTTGCATTTAGATTAATAATGATAATAATGGTCCACATAACTTGTTTTTGGTTTAGCTTGGCCTTGAACTTGCCATGCAGCCCAGGCTAGGCTTGAACTCATGATCCTCCTCAGTCTTCTATACTGGGGTTGTAGCTGTGTGTTACTATGCTTGTGCCCCCTCCCTGAGCTTTTATAGGAGAAAAATGGGGTACAGAGAAAGTGGGCAGGAAGTCCATGCACTGGGTGGGCAGTCCTCATCCCCAGGCCTATCTCCTCTCTTTCCTGCTGCCCTCCTGTGGCTGCTTGAGCAGACGCTGAGGAAGAGCCTCTCCCCAGCACAAAGGACTAGGGATGGAAGGCAAAAGGGAGGGGGGGAGCAGGGGACATGAATCCATTACAGCTGTCATGGGGGGTGTCATTTGGGGATGGAAGAAGTATGCCAGTAGTGAGCTAGTAAATGCTTAAGCAGCAGCTTTCTGAAAAAGAAACAAGCCCCCCCCCCAATCTATAGCCTTGGCCATTTCCTTGGAGTAAAGACTCTGAATGTGACCATCTTGGCAGCACTAAGCATGGAACCAAAGTGGTGCTCATACTGGCTCTCCAGGGAGTAACTATGGGTCATTTCTGACATTTGACAGGTTGACAAAAGTAGATGGGGTCGAAGAGGGTGGGGTAGGGGCTGTATGGAGACACTGTGGGCCTCAGAGGTGAACAGAGAGGTTAGGCTGTGGCTTTAGGATCAAGCTGAATGGGTGGCTGGGACTTCATGGAAACTTGTCCCCCTGCCCCCTTTTTGAGACAGGGTCTCAGGTAACTTTAGCTGGCTTCAATACTTGAACTTGTATTTATTATTTTTACTTTATGTGTATGAGTGTTTTTGCCTGCATGTATTTATGTGCACCCAAGTGTGCAGTACCCATAGAGGCCAGAAGAGGGCATAAGATTCTCTGGAACTGGAGTTATGGATAGTTGCTAGCTGCCATGTGGGTGCTAGGAACTGAACCTGGGTCCTTTAGAAGAGCAATCAGTGTTTTTAACCAGCCCTACCATGAACTTCTGATCCTCTTGCCTTTATCTTCAAGTGCTGAGATTGCAGGCATATGCCACCAGGATGGGTTTATGTGGTATGGGGTTTGAACTCAGGAGTTTGTGAATGCTAGGTGACCACTCTGCCAGCTGAGCTACACTGTAGTAAAACTTTTGCTAAAGATGAATGTTCAGCCTGGCCAAGGAGAGTGGAGAAGTTATGCTGATGGTCATGTAATAATCATTCAGTGGTGGAGAATGTTTGCAGCATGCTGGACATGTGCTTTTTTTTTTTTTAAGATTTATTGAATTTTTAATTATGTATTTATAGGTCTGAGTATGAGTTTGTGCATGGGAATTTAGGTGTTCTTAGAGGCCAGTAGATGGTGTCAGATATCCTGGAGCTGGAGTTACTGGTATTTATGAGCCACCTGATGAGGGTGCTGGGAACCAAATTTGGGCTCTCTGCAAAGGCAGTACTTGTTCTTAACCACTGAGCTATCGCTCCAGCTCCCGAATATATGCTTCATGTACATATCCTTATTCATACTCTTAACAACTCAAGAGGTAGAGAATATTTTTGTTTTGTTTTGGTTGGTTTTTGAGACACAGTCTCACTATGTAGTCCTGGCTGGCCTGGCACTCTGTGTGTAGAACAGGTTGGCCTTGAACTCAGAGATCCGCCTGCCTCTTCTCAAGTGCTAGGATTAAAGGTGGCTTGTAGAGAATATTTTTTATCCCAATATCAGAGAAGAGGAAACTGAGGCACAGAGGAGTTGTCCAAAGCCACACATCTGGTATGTGGCAGCGACAGGTTCAGAGCCAGGTAGTTTGACCATAGGGTCTGCATATTTGGAGGCAGGAGACACAGGATCTACTATAAAGCCCAGGCTGGTCTCAAACTTGAAATCTTCCTGCCTTTTGATTGCTGGGATTACAGGTCCGTGCCTCCATGCCAGGCTAGGGGTCTGTACTCTTAAGCACTGTGTTCTATTCCCTTAAGGCTTTCCTCTCTTTATCTGCCAAATCAGCATAAACATGACACAGTCAATGAGCAGAGGGTTGGAGTTATGCTTACCAAGAACAGCAACAACAGCAACAAAAGTAACAGGAACATGTATGTGATTGGGGCAGGAGATGTGAACTCAAATCCTACCTCTGCCACAACTAGTCGATTAAGGTCTCAGTTTCTTTATCTGTGAAGTGGGGATAAAAGTATGTTCCTACTAGAGATTAAGTCCTGTTAGCTATTAAATGAGAATGTGATGAAAATCACATATGCCTGTGACTTTTCAATGAAAAGTAGAGGTTAGTGGGGTTGGGAGAATAGTTTGACTACAGGTCAGCCTCAGGGCACTGTCTTGAAGGCGCCTAACAGCCTGCCAAGAAGAGGGTCAGTCTAAGTCCAAGATAGCTTAGACTGACTGAGCAGCCTCTGTTCTGCTAGGCACCTTGCAAACTGCCAGCTCTGGGTCCTTCAGTCTGTTCTCTGAAGCCACGTTCATTTCCTGCCAGGATGCCAACTTCTTGAAGCAGCCTTTATGGCCTTTGTGATAAAGAGCAAACTGTGTAAAAAAATGATCACAGAGACAAAGGTAGCAGTTTCTAATCTAATGCCAAGGTTCCAGCTGTTATGTTGAACCAACAGGCACACACATCCCAGTAAGACACCATTACTGGTGTTTGAATAAAATAGGGCTGGGGATATGGCTCAGTCAGTAGAGTGCGTCCTCAACATGCACAAAGCACTGGGTTCAATTCCCAGCACCTCATAAACTGCATGCCTGTAATTCCAGCACTCAGGAGGTGGAGGCAGGGAGATCAGCGGTTCAAGGTCATCCTTCAGTACACAGCAAGTTGTTCTGTATCATGAGAACTCGTCTCAAAAAAAAGTGTGTGTGTGTGTGTGTGTGTGTGTGTGTGTGTAAACTCTATTTTTCCTTTCAAATGATGTTCAATTTTTTTTTTCAAGTGGTTGTTAGGGCATAAATACTCACTAGCTGTTTGGACTTGTCTACTTACCAAACCTAACAACCTAAAAGGTTTTTTTTTTTTTTTTTTTTTTTTTTTTTTTTTTTTTTTTTTTTGGTGTGTGTGTGTGTGTGTGTTTTGTCTTTTTGAGACAAGGTCTCCCTGTAGCCCCAGCTGGCCTGGAGCTTGCTATATAGACCAGCCTGACCTTGAACTCACAGAAATCCACTTGCCTCTGCTTCCTGAGTGTTGGAATTAAAGGTGTGCATCCATGCCTGGCCAACAGTTTGATTTTCTAATGGGGGAATTTTTTTATTTTTATTTTTTTCAGCAGCTTCCCTGAGACACTAAGGATGCCTGAGCCCAGAAAGTTTGGGGTGTCTGTGCCACACTCTTCACAAAAAATAATGCTCTGAGATCCACGCTTGCATTTTCTTTTTTAAAAGAGATTTTATTTTTATTTATGTGTATGTGTGTGTGTATGCCTGTGTGTATACACCATGTAATGTGCAGGTACCTGAGGAGGCCAGAAGCAGGCGTCAGGTCCCCTGGAGCTGGTGTTACTGGTGGTTGTGAGCTGCTGGATGCCGGTGCTGGGATCTCAACTTGGGCCCTCTGTAAGAGCTTTTAACTGCTGAGCCATCTCTCTAGCTCCCAATTTTTAATTGACATATAACTGCACATATTTATTGGATATAGTTTGATATTTTATTTTTTTATTTTTTGGTCTTTTTGAGACAGGGTCTCCCTGTAGCCCCAGCTGACCTGGAACTTGCTATGTAGACCAGGCTGGCCTTGAACTCAAAGAGATCCACTTGCCCCTGCCTCCCAAGTGCTGGGATTAAAGGCGTGCACCACCACACCTGGCCTAGTTTGATATTTTAATACATGGACATAATATATAGTGGTCAGATTGGGTAATTGACATATCTGTTATCTCAAAAAAACATCCCTTCTTTGTGGTAGCAACCTTCAAAATCCTCTCCATTAGAAATTCTGAAAATAATTAAAAAAAATAAAAAGTTAAGCCAGGAATGGTAGTACATGCCTGTAATCCCAGCACTTGAGAGGATGAGGCAGGAGGATCAACAGACTAATGCCTATTTGGACTACAGAGTGGGTTCAAGGCCAACCTGAGAAATTGTGAGACTGTCTCAAAACAACACAACAGCTGGGCGTGATGGCTCAAGCCTGTAGTCCCAGCAAGTGAAACCCAGGGGCTGGAGAATCACCACAAGTTCAAGGCCAGACTGTGGGTAATGAGTTCTAGGCCAGCCAGGGATACACAGTGAGCCAAAAAGGGCTCAAACGGGCTGGTGAGATGGCTCAGCTGTTAAGATCCTGTACTGCTCTTCTAGAGGACCTGAATTTGATTCCTAGCATCCATGTCAACCTGCTCATAGCAGCAAGTAACTCCAGCACTGCACTGATGTGCACAGACACACACTATATATACATAATTCTAAAAAATAATACAAATTAAAAAGCCCAAACAGTAAGAAACCTAGCCTCCTTTATCAGGGGTCTGCAGTCAGTTTTCTATTGGTCGCACCTTCCATGCACCAACCAGCAGGCTTCACACTGTGACATCTCTTCCTACTGAACTGAGAGAGCCCTACTTATGGGACCCAAGACCCTGGCCTCTGAGTTCTGGGATGCCTCCCCAGCAGGCCCTCCTCTGGGTTGCAAGTCTCCCCATGGAAGTCCCCCTGCATTCCCAGTTGCTGCTCCACCACACTGCTTCCTCAAGACCCAGTGCTTAGAGCTCCTACTTCTGCAAAGGCTCTAGCCCCTCCACTCCTTCCTGATGTGGCTTACAATTGTAGGTGACAAGCCACCCAGGGGCGGCCTCCAGGCAGGGATCAGTCAGCTGGAAAAAGCATGAAGCCACTAAGGATCAGCACATAGTTTCCTCCCTGACAGCCTGGACTTGGGAATTCTGCTCACAATGAAGGAAAGTGACCCGTCAACCCAAGAGGCAACTGCTCACTTATCCCAGACTTGAGATCCCAGCTCTGAGGGGCTCCGATCCCACTGAACCCCTCTAAGCCTCTCTTTTCTCCTTTGCAGAACCCAGCACAAGACTAAAGTGTGCAGCAGAGCCAAGCTAAATACAGTGTCTTCATCTGTGTGTACAGTTTAAATGGCTCAGGGTTCTGGAGGCTAGAAAGGCCAAAGGGAGGGGCCCGAATCCAGAGAAGCCTTCTCAGAGTGTCATCCCTCGGCTAGGCAGGAGGGCAGGTGAGGGCCGCACTAGCCTTTGTAACACATTCATTCTCTCCACAAATAACCCACTCCTGAGGTAAGGCTGTGAAGCCCAGGGTAAGGGCAGAGAACTCGAGACTTAATGGCTTTTTATCAGGCTCCACCTTCCAACACTGTTACATTGAGGATTAAATTTTCCAAATTTTGAGGGAAACATTCAAACGATAGCATATTAGATTAGATCCCCTATACCATGTGAGCATGTGCGTGCACACACATGAAAAGCCAGTTAGTTGTAATGTAGTTATTTAATAAATAGTTACTGAGTACCTACTATGTACATGCTTAATATGGTATCCCAGGCCCTGTACTAGGCTCTGGGAATATATCACTGAACAGGACAGAAAAGAGCCATACCCTCCTAGGGCTTACATTCTAGAAGATTAATGATCAATACCTGATAAAGGCAGAGCCTAAGGAAGGAAGGGTTTATTTGGCTCACAGTTTGAGGGGATGCCCACTATGTTTTTTGTTTTTTTTTTTCGTCTTTTTGAGGCAGGGTCTCCCTGTAGCCCCAGCTGTCCTGGAACTCACTATGTAGACCATGCTGACCTTGAACTCACAGAGATCCACCTGCCTCTGCCTCCCAAGTGCTGGGATTAAAAGCGGGCACCACCATGGCCGGCTTGGGATGCCCACTATGGTGGGAAGCAGTATGAGGCAGTTAGTTGGTCACACTACATCCACAGTCGGAAGCAGAGAGAGATGAATGCTGGTGCTTAGCTTGCTTTCTTCTTTTTATGTAATCCAGGACCCCATGGGATGGTGCTGTCCACATTTACAGTGGGTTTTCCCACCTCAATCTAATCTAGACGATTCCTCACAGACACACATGCCCAGAGGTTTGTTTCTACAGTAATTGCAGATTCTATTGACGATATTATCTGTCACAATAATGCATAAGTAAATTCCAGGGCAGCACTCACCCAATACACTGTGAACAACATGCTAGGTGAGAGCTCTGCAACTGAGCAACACGTGTAAACCCCACACGCACAATTTTGAAAATTTCAGTAGCGCCGTAAAATAGCAAAAAAAAAAAAGAAAAAAAGCAAACTGGTTTTGACAGCCATACCGGTGATACCAGCATCAGGATATATAATCACTCACAAATACACAAAGGGGAGATAAGGAGGGAGGGAGGGAGGAAAGAAGGAAAGAGAGAGGGAGGGAGGGAGGGAGGGAGAGGGAGAGAGAGACAAGAGAAGTTTATTTTATTTTTTATTTTTTGAGACAAGGTCCCACATAGCCCAGGCTGGCCTTAAAATCACTACATAGATCCGCTTCCGGTTGGCTCCGGCTGGAAGGTTGAATACTGAGTGTCATGGACATGGTCATGGTCATAGTAAATTGGAGCTTCCAGATTACAGACAATGGAAAATAGAAGGGACACCATTAGAAGCTGTCCAGAAGAAGCTGGCTGCACGGGGGCTAAGGGACCCATGGGCCCGCAATGAAGCTTGGCGATACATGGGTGGCTTTGCAGAAAATGTTTCCTTCCTGGGTATAATATTTAAAGGATTCAAATGGGGATTTGCTGCATTTGTGGTAGCACTAGGGGCTGAATATATCCTGGAATCCCAGAGCAAGAATAAGAAGCATCACTGAAGAGAATATCTTTAAATATCTTGTCACTTCCAAACTCTGTCACAAAAACAAGATTTCTTCGCTGTAGCCTGCTTGTTTGTATGTTTGTCCCTGAAAAAATACTAGTATGGTTTAATAAAGTAAGGAGAACATTAAAAAAAAAATCATTACATTGCTGAAGCTTGCCTTAAACTCTTGATCTTTCCTCCACCCAATTTTTTAGAAAAAAATTAATTAAAAATTATTTTTGAGGCATGGTGGTACAAGCCTATAATCTTTTCCCTTAGGAGGATTATGAATTTGAGGCCAGCCTCAGCTACATAGCGAGACCTTGTATTAAACAGCCGGGCGTGGTGGTGCACACCTTTAATCCCAGCACTCGGGAGGTAGAGGCAGGCGGATCTCTGTGAGTTCAAGGCCAGCCTGGTCTGGTCTACGTAGTGAGTTCCAGGCCAGCTGGAACAACAGGAATATTCAAAAAGACCAAAAAGACCAAAAAAAAAAAGCCAAAAGCAGAGTCAGAGCTCAGTGGGTGAAGGTGCTTGCCACTGGAGGACACGAGCCTGAAAACCTCAGTGTTTAATCCTAAAATGCAAGTAAAGGCAGAAGGCAAAAGCCGACTCTACAGCCATCCTGTGACCTCCACCCATACTAACCCCCCACACAAATCAAAGTAAATAAACAATAAATAAAACAATTAATTTAAAAATCATTAAAAGTCATTATAATAAATACAATATAGTACAGTTTCATGTGTAATTAAATGTAATTTTAATTATTTAAATTATAACTTTAAAAAATTTTAATGTGTGTGTATTGGGGATAGAACTCAGGGTCTCATGCCTGCCAGGCAAGTGCTTTACCACTGAGCTTCATCTCCAGAAATTTTGAAAAATTCCATTTTTTAGCTAGAGGTGGTAGTGTACACTTTAATCCCTGCACTCAGGAGGCAGAGACAGGTGGTTCTTTGTGAGACAGAGGCTAGCCTCGTCTACATATGGAGTTCTAAGCCAGCTGGGGCTGCAGGGAGACCCTGTCTCAAAAAAACCAAAAAAAAAAAAAAAAAAAAAAAAAAAAAAAGAAAAAGAAATTAACCCAGTAGATTGCACACATTATCATTTGAACAAGAGAGCCCTCATTCAAGTTCTTGGTAGCCACACGTGGCTGGTGGCTACTGTACTGGACAGCAGAATTGTGGAGGATGAATCCTGTGGGGTGTACCACACATGGGAGGAGCTGTCTGGGAAGGGGACATGGATGACGGAGTGAGTCACTAGCTTGAGTCAGCCCCTTTCTTGCCTGCTCACTGGCCTGGAGGCTTTCTGGCTATTGGCTTCCTACACTGCAGAGCATGACCTTGACTCCACGGAACCCTGACACAGACCCTCTGGAAACAGCTCAGCTTTAGTGGCCCCACCTGCCTACTCCAAGAAATGGTATGAACCCTTTGCTTTGGGGGCTCAAAGCTGCTCTGGGAAGGTGTGGGGGGACATAAGGGATAGGCTGACTAGGGGCCCAGTTTAGAGTGAAGTGAGTGGTGGTCAGAGACTGTCTCTACAGAAAAATTTGATATTTTATGCATATTTTTTTGCGTTAATTTATGTGCCTGGGGTGATCTGGAACTCCTGATCCATGTGATAATTTTTAAAATTAATGTAAACCCTAAATAAATGAAAAGCATATGTTCACACAAAGACTTGTACCTGGATGTTCTCAGCAGTGTGTTTACCATAGCCAAAAAGTAGGAAAAATGTAAATATCCATCCATGGATGAATGGGTAAAGTGTAGTGTACCTGGGCAAGGGCATGTTAGTAAGCCATAGGAGGGGATAAAGTGGGGATCCTGCTTTGGCAGTCCCAACATTCCGTTCCATTTACATGAAATGCCCAGAATAAGCAAACCCGGGGGCGAGGGGAGAGGCAGAGAGACAGAGATAGATAGAGAGACAGAGACAGAAGTCAGTCCACGGTCCATCACTGGTCAGAGGCTAAGCTAGACCTGGATAGGGGAGTGGCTACTGAGTGGATGTGGAATTTCTTTTGGGATGATGAAAACGTTCTAAAATTAAGATGATGTGCGGGATAGCTTTAGTGTCAACTTGACACACCTGGGTTGAAGGAGCCTCAATTGGGGAATTGCCTCCATTGGACCAGCATGTGGCCATGTCTGTGGGGGAATTTTCTTGATTGCTGAATGATGTGGGAGGGCCCAGCCCACTGGGGTGGTGCCACCTCTGGGCAGGTGGCCTATGTTGTATAATAAAGCAGGTTGAGACTGGGCCAGAGGAGCAAGCCAGTAAGCAGCATTCCTCCATGGCCTGTGCTCCAGCTCCTGCCTCCAGGTTCCTGCCCTGAGTTCCTATCTTGGTCTCTCTGATGAACTGTGACCCGGGAGATGTAAGCCAAATAAACCCTTTCCTCCCCAAGTCAGAGTGTTTTGTCACAGCAATGGAGAAACAAACTAGGACAGATGAAGTGGTATAGTACTGGGAATATACTAAAAACCAGTAATCAAAAACTTTAGAATGGTGAATTTGGGGCCAGGTGAAGGCACTTGCAGCCAAGTCTGATGACCCGAGTTCCATCCGTGGGACCCACATGGTGCAAGGAGAAAACAGACTCCTGAAAGCTGTCCTCAACATCTACATTCCAGCTGTAGCACATGAGCACATGCGTGCACACACAGACATGAATAAACAAATGTAAAAATTAATTAAACAAAAATATTAAGTGTTTTCACTAAGTACTATTGAAGAAAATTACATTTGGAAAAAATAAATAAAATATGGGGACTGGGGTATAGCTCACTTGTTTTATAGGGTGCTTGCCTAGCATGTATGAGGCCCTGGGTTCAATTCCTAGCACTGCATAAAATGGCGTGGTGGTACACGCTTGTAATCCCTCCCTTGTGGGAGGTGGAGGCAGGAGGATGGGAAGTTAAAGGCCAGCTTGAGCTACATAGTAAGACTGCCTGGAAAAAAACAACAACCAAATTATATATATGTATATTCATATATATTCCATAGTATGAAAATGCTATTTATTTCAATTATTAAATTTTGTGGTGACACCTTAAAATTTTCATCTGTGGCAAAGTGCCTTGTTCTCTTCAATCTAGTCCTATGGTTAAGTCTCAGCTCTTCCTGGCTGGGCAAGTTGATTAACTTCTCAGAACCAGGATTTTCTATATAAAATGCCTGCGCCTAGTAGTTGTTAGGATCATACAGTGAAGAGATGACCGCACAGACCTAGCACAGTCCTTGGCACACAAGTTTTTAAGTATTACGACATAAATCTTAGCAAACTTTTCTTAAGGGGGGGGGTCTGGTGTCCAGCTTAGAGTGGGGTGTAATGTCCCCACCCCTATGAATGTGACCTGACTCTGCCCTTGAGAACTGGCCTAGTGGCCTAGAACTTCCTGCTCCTTCTGGTCCTCAAAGAAATGGGCCTTTAATACTCTCAGGCCCCAGGCTGACCACCACCACCAACACCCTTGGACGGTGATACCCTGAGCCACGCTCCGGTGCCTCTTGGCTCCCAGCACCTTATATCCCGGCTCCTCTGCCCCCCACTCCACCTCCCTCACGCGCCTTTCTGTACTCTACTCTTCCAGCGTAGGCCATGGCTCCGGGTCCCTCTTGCTGCCATGAGGCCTGTACTTTGCAGGGCTGAAGTCCAAAGTTCAGTCCCTTGGCTAAGCACACGGATAAATATGAACCTTGGAGAATTTCCCCAGCTCCAATGTAAACAGAGCAGGCAGGGGCCCTGATTCACTGGCCGCTGGGGCCAGGGTTGGGGGTTGGGGGTGCCCACAGGGCTTGGCTAGTGGGATTTGGGGGGGCAGTGGGTGCACGGAGCCTGGTTCGTGACTGCCAGGCTGCCGGCAAGTAGACGGCCCACGCGGTGGGTGGGGGAGGCGGCCAGCTCGGTGGCCTGGGGCCGCGTGGCCTGGTGGCAGTGGAGCCATGGTTTCCAAGCTGAGCCAGCTGCAGACGGAGCTCCTGGCTGCCCTGCTGGAGTCGGGCCTGAGCAAAGAGGCGCTGATCCAGGCCTTGGGGGAGCCGGGGCCCTACCTGCTGGCTAGAGATGGCCCCCTGGACAAGGGGGAGTCCTGCGGTGCAGGTCGAGGGGAGCTGGCGGAGCTGCCCAATGGGCTGGGGGAGATGCGTGGTTCGGAGGACGACACCGACGACGATGGGGAAGACTTCGCACCACCCATCCTGAAAGAGCTGGAGAATCTGAGCCCGGAGGAGGCCGCCCACCAGAAAGCGGTGGTGGAGACCCTTCTGCAGTAAGGACCCCACCCTATCCCTAGCACTCAGGAGGGAGCCCAGAGCAGCCCACGCTAAGCTCCCGGCCAGCCCTCTCCCAGACTAGAGCCCTCCTGAGCTGTGGCCTTTAGGCTAGTGGTCGGGAAGTGGGAGCTTAATGGGTTCTTGCTTGGACCTGCCCCTTTGTAGGGTCTCACATTCCTGTGAATCATGTCCTGCATGCAGCCCTGGTCGCTAGGAAATGGGGACAGGCAGGAGGACAGTAAAACAAGAAAGTCCCCAATGAAATGCTTGAAGAACCCGAGGGTGGTGGAAATCTTTACCCACTGTGGTCATTTGCACTCCTCAAAATTCTTCTTCCCTGCTAAGTGCTCAGACCACAGAAGTGGGGTCCCCACAAGCCCTTCTGAGGAGGTTGGGCAGAGACTGGGGTTTTAGGGCCTTCCCTAGTTCCCTAGGGCCTCAAGTATCTGGCTGTGTAAGCCCAGATTTTTCTTACCTGAGGCAGATGGAGCCTGGGGGTGGCAGCTGCTCCCCTTCCCTGGCCACATGCCCCCCACTTTACCAGGTGGCAGCTTTAGAGGCCTCCCTGTACTATACCCTCATCTGTTGTCTGGCTCCCCATTTCCTGGAGTGCTGGGTGGGTCCAGAGTGGATGCCTCCCCTCTCCTCAGCAAAGCCCATCTGGTTACTAATTACCCATGTACTTTATTATTTCTCTTTTGTTTTATAAATTTATAAATGGCAAAAGGCTCTGATAAGGCCTGTGATCATTAACTTGTAGGGATGGTGGCCTGGAGACACCTGAGCCTACCAACCTCCCACCCAGTGGGGGTGGAGAATGGGAGCACTGGGATGGGGGAAGGGTTACCTGGGAGCTGCAGGGACCCCCCCCCTCCCCTCCTCCCCAAACCCTCCAAAATCTCCATACTAATAGCTCCCTGTTTTTGACTTTCTGTTGGGGTTTCATGGCGCCCAGGTTCCCAAAATATAGAAAATATAGAGATGCACTCCCAGGAGGAACTTGTTGATAATTCTGTTTTATAGGTGGAGAACCTGAGGCTTAAGACTGTTTGTTTGTGTGTGTGTGTGTGTGTGTGTGTGTGTGTGTGTGTGTGTGTGTATGTGTGTGTGTGAAAGCTATGACTAAGGGGCCTAAGGGCTGACTGAGGAGTTTGAAGAGTTCTGGGAGTTCTGTGGGAGTCTGTCTCTTTTTCTGTCCAAGGTACTGATCCCGGCTTGGGGTCGGGGAGGACTGGTGGATTCCGGCCTCTCCAGAAGCCTCAGGGAGCCTCCCTGGGCCTTGGGCAGGGGGTAGGGGAGCAGTCAGGCCCCCTGGCTTGGCAGGAAGAGGAGGGCAAAGGGCTGCCTCGCTGTAGGGGAGGGGCAAAGGTCCAGATATTGCCAGACCCAGGGTGAGGAAAATCTGGACAGGGTGGGGCTGGGCCTAACCTGCTCAGGGCCCCAGATGGAACTGGGGGCTTAGGTATGAGGCTGGGGACAGGGTACCAAGGGTCTTCTTACCTGGCTAGGTGGAACCTCTTGATCAGCAGCTCCTTGGCTAGGGGTGGTGGGGGCAGGAGGGGAGGCTTGGTCCAAAGCAGTTTTGAGCAGAGGTCAAAGTGCTCCTTGGAGACCAGCAGAGACCTGGAATTGGAGGAGAGGAGGGGAGGCAGGGAGGATGAGGTGGAGGAAGAAGGCTGGGGAAGCTGGAAGAGCAGAGGAGCCAGGAGGGGAGAGGGTCTTAGAGCAGCTGGAAGAAGGGGCAGGGGAGAGAGTGAGGCTGTACTGGGAGGAGGCTGGAGTGCTTCCCTCCCGGGTTGGGTTTTCTTTAATGCTAACAGCGTGCTATTTACTTTCCATTTAAATTTGAGATGTTGCTATAAATTATCAACCAGCTCCTTGTTCCTGTGGAGTTTATAACTAACTACCTGGGTTACTTATTGTTCAGGTAACAAAGGGGACCTGAAAATGTCCCAGGGACAAAAGTGGGGCCTCTAGCTTCAGGGCAGGGGGTGGGAGTATTGGGGAGAGGGCTGGAGGACCCCTGAGGAAGGCCTGGGTGGTGGGGAGGTTGAGGCTAGAAGAGATGCCTACAGAGGCCAGCTCTGTGTGGGAACTAATTGTTCCCATAAGACCTGTGTCTGGAAGAGGCAGGGGTGGGTCTGGGGTCCCAGGTGCCCCTAAGAGTGTGCCCCGTATTTGAGGCCACAGCAGAAACCTGAATTCCTCCTCTCAAATCTCTACCCTCAGTCTGTGTGACCTTGGACAAATCTCTTTCCCTCTCCTACCTCAGTTTCCCCATGTAGACAAGCAATAAAGTCAAATTCCCTGCTCTATTTCCATCCCCTTGGCCCCATTAGCTTCCCTGACTGCTCTCCTGCCCTCCGTTCCTTTGCTTCTGTGATGCTGACTTTGCTGCTCTTCAACATAAAAGGCGATTGCCACCTCAGGGCCTTTGCACACCCCATTCCTCTTGCTCAGACCTTTCCCCAGGCTCTTCTGGGCCCTCAGTTCCCTGTCTGCCCCTTCTGCAGGTGGGCTCTCCCTGCAGTTGCCCTCTCCTTCACCACTTGCCCTTATTTATTTATATATATATATATATCCCTGTTCCTTTCCTGTCTTCTGTGAAAACAGGGAACTCTCCAAAGACAAAGCTTGTGAGGTCTTATTCATCACTTTACCCCCCATGTCCAACCCATGACAGACATAGGCATGGGTGAAGAGGACTTCCCTAGACACCTGCTGCTCCTACTTAAGGGAATACCTGGAGTTCAGGGCTCTAGCCTGGCTGTCCTCACAAGTCCCCAGATAGTTCAAAGCCCAACCTTGATGTTCCCTGATCCCGCCTGTCAGCAGCAGGGCTCTGTGAGCTAGGACTGCAGTAGCAGGGTAGTGGGCAGGCTGTCATCTGCATGCAGCCTGCCTGGGTTCCCATCCCTACCTTGTCCCTTTCCAGTCAGGCAAGTGCCTTCCATTTCCTAAGTCCCAGTTTCTTCTTTAGAATAGCGAGGAAGAAAATACTCGCTACAAGTTTAAGAGTATTCCCCCAAGAGTATGAAAGATAGTTTGTGAAATAAGCAGCAGTGGACCCTAGCAATTTAGGTGATCCCATTTTACAGGTGAGGAAATAAAGGCTTCAAGAGACCAAGTGACTTACCCGAATTAACTGTTCCAAATAGCAAGGCCAGGACTTGGGCCCATGGCCTCCTATCCCATGTATCACAGGCTTATTTGCTACATCATATGTAGCTGAGGGTGACCTTGAACTCTTGATCCTCCTGCCTCTACCTCCCAAGTGCTGGGATTACAGCTATGCATCACCATATGATTTTATGTGATGTTGGGGATAGAACCCAGGGCTTCATGCATGCTAAGCAAGCACTTTGCCAAGTGAGTTACAGCCCTAGCCTGAGAAAGAGGAAATATCTTTAGTTCTACCTCAAATCTGAGGAAACTGGGGCATACTGATGTTAAGCCACCTTGCAAGTCCACTCAGAGAGTGGCTAACAGAGCTGGGATTACTACTATTCAGATCTAAACCCTTCCTCCTAATGGAGAACTCAGCTCTCTATCCAGAGGTGTGGTCTTCAGGCTTGTCTCCCACCTCCTGGCTCTGGATACCAAAGACCCAAAGGCCCAAAGACATGGTTGACTCTAGAATGGGGAGGAGAAGAGAGGAGGAAGATGATGGCAGATCTTCACTCTTTCTGGGTTCTACTGTGGGGCCAGGGGACCACAGTGATGGTGATGATGGAGATGATGACAATGATGTTAATAATATCATTCCATTTACTGAGCCCATGCTATTGGCCAGGCTCTGCCCCAAAGCCTTCTTCTCCATTGGGAACTAATTTAATTCTCCTAGTTAGCAGTCAGTGTGAGCTAGGTGTGGATATGGTCCATGTGGAAAAGCAGGTGCAGTTCACAGAGGCCTAGGTCATGACAGGATTGGGACCCAGTAGACTTGAATCAAACCTAGTACATTTAAAGCATGAAACACTAGGTACCTTGCCCTGTTTATTTTGAGTTGTTTTTAGCTGGGGAAGCTCTTTCTGGAAGAAGAGGCCTGTCCTTAGAAACTGAATGTGTAAGTCTGTGCACATGTGTGTGTGTGCACACTGCATGCACGAAAGAGAGACAGAGACAGAGAGAGACAGAGACAGAGACAGAGAGAGATAGAGACAGAGAGGCAGAGAGGAACAGAGAGCAGTAAGAGAGAGGTAGGAAAATAGAAATGGACTAATTCAGTAGGTACCAGAAAAAAAGTGGCACAGATAACTTCCCCCAGAGAAAGGAAAGATAGAAGCTGGGTCCTCTTGGCTCTGTGTTCTGACAGGCATTTTGTTTGTTTTTATTTTTTTGATTTTTATATATTTCTTTTTTTGAGACAGGGTCTCAAACTCATGGTCCTACTGGCTTGGCCTCCCAAGTGCTGAGATCACAGCACCACCATGCCTGGCTTTGCCTGGTACTTTGTAATCACTTTTTGGTGTCAAATTGTATCAAGGACTGTTTAAAAACAAGTGTCCATTAGTTTGAACATGTTTGCTTCCCATTCAAATACATGTCTTCTGCTTATAAGTGCTGTGCATGTGTTTGTGAAAGGTGGCTGGTCTTGCTCTTATTTTATTTGATCTAGTGTAGGAGAAGTTGAGAGAGACAGAGATGGGGTGGGGGAGAGGGAAGAGAGAGACAGAGACAGAGATAGAGAGACCTTGGCAGAGTACAAGGTCCTGCTGAGAGGTAGGTGCCCCCATTCTCCCTACAGAGGAACTATGGAGGGAGGGAGAGAGAGAGGGAGGGAGGGAGAGAAGAAAGTGAGGGCTGCCCTTGGTGGAGAAGGGAGGTCACCAGATAAGCTTGTTTGCTGAAGCACAGGCTGGACTTTGTCCACCTTTCCCTCCTAGCCCTGACTGGCACTCAGGGAAGGTAAAGGGAGGGGTGAGGTGCCAAGAATCCCCCAAACATGGGAAGATAGAGTCTGCAAGTAGGATTCCTAGTAACAAAATATTCTTGAGCCCCAACTAGGAAACCTGGGACAACCTGAGCTTTCTGAGCCCAAGTTCTGACATGGGCGGAGCCCACATTCACATAAAATATACTTCCGGGGGGTTTCTTTGAGATTAGGTGGCTCCCAGTGGCTGCTAGGTGGGTGACATTCACCCTCACCGTTATCGTTTTTTATTTGCTGTACCTAGTGCTGACTTAGACTCATCTGTCCCCACCTCCTTTGCTACCCTCCCTGTCTCTGATAACAAAAGAGGTAGTCAGAGGGTCGAAGCTGACCACTGCTAAGCCCTCCCATTGAGAAGGCCATTAGGGATGCTAGGCAGAGCTGGCTCTGGGAAGAAAAGAAGGGTCTGGGGAAGGCAGTGGGGTGGGCTTTAGAGTGCTAGAGGTGGATTTCAGTTTGTAATTTGGTTTGAAATGTTATATGCACTCAGTCTCTGGGCTCCAAACCTGTGAATTTAACCAACTGGGGATTGAAAATATTAAAAAAAAAATTGTTCCAATCTGAACACTACAGACTTTTTTGTCACTATTTTCTAAACAATAAGTAAAGCAACCATTTTACTTGCATCTTTGTTGTAACCTAGAGGTGACTTAAAGTAGACCGGGATGTATGTAGGCTATATGTAAATGTTACCCATTCGTTGCTGTGGTTGGGTTGGTTTTTGAGACAAAGTCTCACTATGTACCTCAGACTGGCCTGGAACTCCATTTTCTGCCAACTGGGGCAGCAAGTGTTTGCTAGAATACCATCGATTTTATGCAAGGGATTGAGCACTTGTGGCTTTTCATATGTACTATAGTCCTGAAAGTGTTCCCCAAGGATACAGAGGGGTGACTTACACATTGCAGTACAGTATACAGGGTTGGAATGTAGTGCATATTTTAAAAACTGCAGAAGAGCTACAGAGAAAACTGTCCCTCTCATCCATCCCCAGCACCTGACTCCTGATAAGAGGAGGAAGTCAGAGGGTCTAAGAGGGAAACCACCATCTCCAGTTTCTGATGTGTTCTCTGATGAGGTTTCATGTATACACATATGAATAGAAAGCCTTTTTACACACATGCACATGCAACACACATGCACACACATATACACATAATACACATACATGCACACACATATGCACATGCACATATATATAATTAAAAAAAATTTTAAGACAAGGTCTTCTGTAGTTCAGGCTGGCCTTGGCATGTTGCTGAGAATGACCTTGAACTCCAAATTCTCTTGCGTTTACCTCCCAAGAACTGGGATTACAGGCGGGGGCCAGCAAGCTAGGCATTTTTGTTTTCTTTTTGAGACAAGATCTCAATATGGAACTCAGATTAACATTGAACTTGTGATCTCAGCTTCCTGAATGCAGGGATCATAAATGTGTGTCACCATACCTGGCTTCTCTTTCCTCACTTCTAATTTCACATAAGCAGCAGTAAAGTACTTATCCTAGCCAGGTCAGCCCATCTGGACACACTCAGAGATCCTGCAGTGGGCTTTATGGCTGATAGAAGAGCGGTTGTGATAGAATCAGCATTTTTTTTTTTTGGTGGACTTTTTGGTGGTTTTCAATCTTTGCTACAGCAAGCAATATGGCAACCAGTCACCTTCTAAAGACACCATTTGTCAGATATGTAAATATCTCAAGGCTCAAGATTTAGAAGCAGCTTGCTGAGCCAAGCAGGGAAGAGGGGAATACAGGCTTTCCAGTCACACATTCAAATCTCAGTCTGCCTGCTTCAGTGCTGTTGTATTTTACTGTATTTATCTGACACATACATGGTTTGGAGAGAGAGAAATAGAGGAGAGAGAGAGAGAGAGAGAGAGAGAGAGAGAGAGAGAGAGAGGAGAGAGAGATTGTGTTATTATTCCGTAAAGGTGCTTACCACCAAGCCTGATGACCTGAGATCCCACAGGGTAGGAGAGATCTGACTCCTAAAAGTCCTCTGATCTCCACATGTAAAAGTTTGCACTCACATGCCTATACACAAATTATATATATAGATAGATATCCATATATATATGGGGAGAGGGAGAGAGAGAGAGAGAGAGAGAGAGAGAGAGAGAGAGAGAAGGGGAGAGAGGTGTTTGAGACAGTAGGAGAGGAAGAGAGCATTGTGGTACAATCTATACATAGATCCCTTCCTTTCCCACAGGGAGACTCATTAGCAGAGGATGAATCACAGGTGGCCTCAGGTCCCATAAATCACTCTCTTTGGAGAATGCTAGCTCCCAGATGGGATTTTGGACTCAAACACACATAGTTTTGTTACAAGGAGGCCTCTGAAGTCCAGCCTATAACCCCTTCACCTGGGACTCAGCTGAAACACCTGCCTGCATTGTCCAGCATTGTGGGGAAACAGGTAGACTGCTGCTAAGGGCTTATTGCAGAATTTTAGGCATTTTGACCCTGTGTGATTTTAGCCTGGTAGACGACTTAGAACTCATCCCTTTGGGTAGAAATGGACACTGCTGGGTTAGTCTTGTGACCTTGGGCAAGAAATACAAGTGACACAAACTCTCTGGGCCTCAGTGGCTCTGACGGTAAATAGGAAACTCCACGTGTTTGCTTTCCTTTTTTCAATGGGGTTTCACCATATATCTGTCCATCTGTCTGTCCATCCATCTGCTTCATCATCCATCCATTCATCCACCCATCCATTTATCTACTCACCCATCCATATAACTATTCATCTACACACCCAGTTAGTTATCCATCCACCTATTCACCAGCTCATCCACCCACCCATCCACCCATCCATCCATCCATCCATCCATCCATCCATCCATCCATCCATCCATCCATCCATCATCCTAGGCACACTCTATGGCAGGCCCATTTTGAGTGCTGAGAATGAGACAGTTTATTCCTCAACATGAGTTTAAGATTCATTTAACACTGTCAGTAAGATGACTCAGTGGGAAAAATGCTTGCCTCACAAGCCTGGCAACCTGACTTTGATCCCCAGAACCCATGTAAATGTAGAAGGAGAGAACCGACTCTCAAGGGTTGCCCTCTGACAGCCACATGCATATTGTGGCACATATACGCACACACAGAGTAACTAAAAAGTTTAAAAATTATTCATTTGACATTCTCACGTAAGAAGAGGGGAGGAACTCTGAAGGAGGCTGCAGGTGAGGACATTCAGAGCTGGCTTGCACAACTTGCACTCATGTCTGCATGTGCTCATGTCTGTTTTCATGGGGCTGGGTCCTAGTACAGGACCCAACACAGGCCCCCAGGCTCCATAACTGCCTTCATCTGTGATCCCAACCCCAAGCAGCAGGGCTGTAGTTCCCAGGACCCCAACCTCACCTCAGAGTTGGCAGTGCCACTAAGCACCCCACTGAGCAGACTCTGTCTTTGCCCTCTTACAGGGAGGACCCATGGCGGGTGGCAAAGATGGTCAAGTCCTACCTGCAGCAGCACAACATCCCACAGAGAGAGGTGGTGGACACCACTGGTCTCAACCAGTCCCACCTGTCCCAGCACCTCAACAAGGGCACCCCTATGAAGACACAGAAGCGGGCAGCTCTGTACACCTGGTACGTCCGCAAGCAGCGAGAGGTGGCTCAGCGTAAGTAATGACCCCTGCCTGTGTTCTCCCTGGCAGGGCCTGGGACTCTCCCCAGTTCATAATGGGAGCTGGGAGTATCACCACCCTCACCACACAGACATGTGGACTGAGAGGAAACCTGTAGGATTTCACCCACAGTTACTGCCCATTCTGCACAGGGCACTGGGGGAGGGAGCAGGGTTGTTCCTGGGCACCCATAGATACAATTACTGAGTTCCTCCTTCACTGAGCTCACGGTTCAGTGGGGGAATCATGGGAAATCATCACTATGATATGAGACAAGAAGTATAATATGCTGACAACAAAAATAGTAACCTCTAGTAGTTACTGAGCACTTAAGACTGCCAGGCCCAGTGCTTTAAAGTATTGCAAAGTGGTGAGCTGACTGTGGAGGGGTGAGTAAGGTCTTCTATCTCAGTGAGGCAGAGGTTCCAGGAAGGTTCACATGGAAAGCATGACCTTTACACTAGGTCTTAAAGTGTGAGGGTGGTACAATCAAGAGGAACAGCATGAGAGGCTCAGAGGCCAGCATACATTCCTACACTATTGCTTAGGAAATGGTGATCTCTCTCTCTCTCTCTCTCTCTCTCTCTCTCTCTCTCTCTCTCATACTTGGGATTGAACACAGGGCTTCACATGTTAGGCAAATGCTCTACTACTGAGCTGAATCTCCAGCCCTCTTTTCACTTTTAATTTGAGACACGGTCTCACTGTGTAATCCAGGTTGGCCTTGAACTCCTGATCCTCTTGCCTTGGCCTCCCAAGATCCAGGATGACAGGTGAGTGCCACCACACCTGACTTGGTCTCATTTTTTTAGGGGTCACTGGATGTTATTTGGAGGTACCACGATTTGTTTAGCCAGCCACTTGCTGAAGGACTTTTAGTTTTTCCAATATGCTATCATGACCCCCTGCTACAAAAAAAAAAAAACAAAAAAACATTTCTGCTTTTTTTGAAACAGTGTCTCCCTAGCCCCAGCTGACCTGGAACTCACTATGTAGACCAGGCTGGCCTTGATTTCATAGAGATCTGCCTGTCTCTGCCTCCCAAGTGCTGGGATTAAAGGCGTGTGCCACCACCTCTGGCTCATAGAGAACATCATTATCTATACAAGTTTGTACAAAATGTGAGTCTGTCCACAGGGAAAATCCTAGATGTAGAATGCTGGGCATAGAATAAGTGCTTTTAAAATGTTTGATAGAGGGATGGAGAGGTGGCTCAGCAGCTGAGAGTCCTGGCTGCTCTTGTAGATGACCTGGATTCGATTCCCAGTACCCATAATAATAACAACCACTGTCAAAAATGTATATACAAAATGTATAAACAGCTCTGACCCTTAATATATTTACCTGTTATTGAGGGATTTGCTTTCCTCTATATTGTAATATACACTTAGACACATAGTATAATATAGCACATTCTTAGCTGGGCGTGGTGGCGCACGCCATTAGTCCCAGCACTCGGGAGACAAGGGCAGGTGGATCTCTGTGAGTTCTAGGCCAGCCTGGTCTACATAGTGAGTTCCAGGCCAGCTAGGGCTACTGGGAGATCCTGTTTCAAAAAAGATCCCCCCCCCCAAAAGCACATTCTTAAACTGTTTTCATTTGTATGAGAAGAAGCAGAAATCATTTTAGGTTTAGCTTCTGAGAGAATTTAACTGTCTTTTCCCCAAACTGTCATTGGAAGAAAATTTACAATATTGAATAAAATACATTTTTCATCTCTAACAGTTTGAAATGTAAGAAAAGATTTCAGCCTAGAACTGAGAAGAAGCAAATTGTGGCTCAAATAGCTATCCTCAGGGAATTTTTAACTTTAAAGAATTGGAGGATGGGAGATACAGAACATTCAAGATAAGCCCAAAGTATTAGGACTCTTGGAGTAACAAGAGGGCAGAGCCCCAATTCAATTTGATTTAAGGGGGTTAAAGGAATTTATTGGCTCATGAATGGGAGCAGTCCATGGCTGTTTCAGGCATGGTTGCATCTAGGGGCTTAAATGACATTCACACAGTATTTTTTTAAATTTATTTATTATTTATTATTTTTATTTTATGTGTATGCATGTATTGCCTGGGTGTAGGTAATTGCACCGTGTTGTGCAATACCTGCGGAGGACAGAAGAGGCTGTCGGATCCCCTGGAACTGGAGTTACACACAGTTGTTAGCTGCCATGTGGGTGCTGGGATTCGAACCCAGGTCTTCTGCAAGAACCACCAGTGCCCTTAACTGCTGAGCCATCTCTCCAGCCCCACACACATTATTTCTTGACTTGACTTTGTTTCCCTCCCTCTTTCCATCTTTCTCCTTCCCTTCCTTCTTTCTTTTTCCTTTCCTTCCTTTTGATTTTTTGAGATATGTTCCCATGTGTAGCCCAATCTATCCTCAAACACTATGTAGCTGAGAATGACCTTGAACTGAGCCTCCTGCCTCTAAGCTCCACCACCGAGGGTACAGATGTGTACACATACCTGACTTGGTTTTATTTTCTTTTACGTTGACTTCCTTTTCTGTCAGGCTCTTCTGATACAGGCACAGATGGGTCCTGGGAGCTCTCGGCTGTCATCTTACCAGCTTAGCAACCTCAGGGAGGGAGTGAGCTTCTTTTCAGTTTTTAGCTGAGTGCTCGTTTTAATAAAAAAACATTCAGTGGGGCTGGAGAGATGGCTCAGCAGTTAAGAGCACAGGCCACTCTTTCAGGGGACCCAGGTTCAATTTCCAACACCTACATGTGGCTAGCAATGGTCTTATCTCCAGTTCCGGGGAAGCCAACACCTGACCTCTTGGGCACTGCACCACACAAGTGTACTGACACAGGGGCACTGACACACATACAGTAAAATGAAAAAAAAAAATAAAATATTTAAAGATAATTTAAAAACATTTAAATAAGGTCTAATGTACAAATGTACACAAATCTTAAGTGTACAGTTCAATGAACTAACATTCCTCCCTCCCTCCTTCCCCCTGCTTTACATCCTGCCACCTTCCCTCCCTCCCTTCCTTCCCTCCCTCCCTTCTTTCCCTCCCTCCCTCCCTTCCTTCTCTTGCTCTTTCTTCCTTTTTCCCCTTTATTTCTTTTTCTTTCTTCTTGAAACAAGGTCTCCATCTGTGAACCTAGCTGGCTTGGAACATGCTTTGTAACCCAGGCTGGCCTCAAACCCATGACAATTCTACTGCTTCATCTTCCCAAGGGCTGTGATTTTAGTTGAGTCCTAATGCCTGGCCCTCTTAAAGAAATTCTTCAAGGGACGGGAGAGATGGCTCAGCGGTTAAGAACACTTGTTGTTCTTGCAGAAGACCTGGGTTCGAATCCAGAACCCACATGGCAGCTAACAACTGTTCATAACTCCAGTGCCAGGGGATCCAACAGCCTCTTCTGTCTTCTGTGGGCATTGCACGACATGGTGCACTTACCTACATGCAGGCAATACATGCATAGGTATAAAATAAAAATAATAAAAAAATTAAAAAAAGAATTTCTTCAAAGTGAACATACCAGAATAACAACCCATTAGATGAAGAATTAAACATTCCAGCTCACTAGCAGCCCTCTCTTCCTGTAAGGGTAATCACTAAACCTGACTTCTACCATCACAGGTTACTTATGATTCTTGGTAGATACTGCTAAATTGCTATTGTTTTGAAACCAGCAGGGTTTCAATATTCCAGTTGCTTCTTGAATCCTTGGCAACACTTGTTAATGTTTGTCTTTCTCTTACTCAGCCATGGTATATGTGTGCTAGGCAAGCACTCTACCAATTGAGCCACATCTCCCAGGCCCAGGGTTAGATAATTCTTTGGTTCTAGCCTTTAACTACTCTATTTCAGCACTCTGGGAAACAGAAAATCGGCGGGCCAGGGAGCTGACGTGGGAAGGTGGGAGTGGCCAATGCCCCTCTTATGACTCTCTGTCTTACAGAATTCACCCATGCCGGGCAGGGTGGGCTAATTGAAGAGCCCACAGGTGATGAGCTGCCAACCAAAAAGGGGCGGAGGAACCGTTTCAAGTGGGGCCCAGCATCCCAGCAGATCCTGTTCCAGGCCTATGAGAGGCAGAAGAATCCCAGCAAGGAGGAGCGAGAGACCTTGGTGGAGGAGTGCAATAGGTAGAATGGTGGTTCAGCCAGGGCCAAGGCAAGGCTGGGAAGAGGGTGGGGAACTCTGGCTCTGCAAGGGGCCTCTCCAGTCCTTGAGAATTCCTACAGTCTGTTTAGCTTGGTCAGAATTAAGAGGACTCAATTCCTGACCATTGTTTAGAAGTGAATTTCTAGCATCCCCCACCCACCCAAGCAACCCTTCAGGTGGCCACTCATTTTGTCTCCTCCATAACCTTAGGTCTGCCATCTAGAGCACTTGGCTAGATTTTACTCTTCAGCTCTTGGGTACTATCTTTACAGAGCAGAGTGCATCCAGAGGGGTGTGTCACCGTCGCAGGCACAGGGGCTGGGATCCAACCTTGTCACGGAGGTGCGCGTCTACAACTGGTTTGCCAACCGGCGCAAGGAAGAAGCCTTTCGGCACAAGTTGGCCATGGACACATACAGCGGGCCCCCACCAGGGCCAGGACCAGGACCTGCACTGCCTGCTCACAGCTCCCCTGGCCTGCCCCCCTCAGCCCTCTCCCCCAGTAAGGTCCATGGTGAGTGCTGTGGGCCAGGAGAACTGGGATAAAGAGAGTAAGTGGGTGGGAAGGAGGGCTGGAGAGGGATTCCTTAGCGGCAGTAGCCACCCCAGATTACACTCCGTCCCCTCTACTCTGTCCACTCCATCCATCCACTTCACTCTGTCCACTCTACTCCATCCACTCCATCCATCCACTCTGTCTACTCCACTCCATCCCCTCTACTCTGTCCACTCCATCCATCCACTCTGTCTACTCCACTCCCTCCCCTCTACTCTGTCCATCCCCTCTACTCCATCCACTCCATCCCCTCTACTCCATCCACTCCATCCATCCACTCTGTCCACTCCACTCCATCCCCTCTACTCTGTCCACTCCATCCATCCACTTCACTCTGTCCACTCTACTCCATCCACTCCATCCATCCACTGTCCACTCCACTCCATCCCCTCTACTCTGTCCACTCCATCCATCCACTCTGTCCACTCCACTCCATCCCCTCTACTCTGTCCACTCCATCCATCTACTCCTTTCTCTGGCACTGTGCATTCCACTCTCCCTCATCCACTTCAAACTGTTCCACTCCCCACTCTCCTCCACGCTGTACCACCCTCCAGCACTCAGCTCACACTTTCCTCCATCCTTCCTGCTCCACACCACCCCTCTCTTCCCAGTTCACTCTACCCTTCTCTCCAACCAAACCATTCAGCCCACTGGTAACTTTATTCACTCCATGCCATTCACTGCACTCCAACTTATTCTAGTCAGCCTAACTAGATTTGTGTTACACATTCATTTTGGATCTATCAGTTCAAACCATCTCAGTTCAACTCAATTCAATTGTGTTCAAACCATAATGTAATCCAACCAATTCTCATTCAGTTCATTTAGTTCAACTAAACAGAAGTCAATGAAATTCAGCTCCTTTTGCACAGCTTATCCCTTGGTATCTACAGATTGGTTCCAGTACATCTTGTAGACACTTCAAGTAGTATTTGCATGCAACCTATGCACATCCTCCTGCAGACTTTGACTCATTTCTAGATGACTTATGACTCAATACAACCCAATTACTATGTAGTTATACTATATTGGTTAGGGACTAATGACAAGAAAAAGCCTACATGTGTTCAGTACAGACACACAGTTTTTTCAAATATTTTCCATCTACAGTTGGTTGAATCTGAGGATGTGGTGCTTGTGGATACAGAGGGCCGACTGTAAAGCTCAACTCAATTTAATCCATTCAATTTGATTTCATTCAGTTCAATCCAAGCTCAATCCAGCTCAACTCATTTCTGATCTAATTCAACTAGATCTAATTTAATTCACTCAATTCCAATCCATTCTTCTCAACTCCTTCATTTCTGATTAATTCAGCTCAGTTCCACTGTTCTTTGACTAAGCACCTACTGTACACCAGGGGAGCACTAGGCAGTGGGGGACATGGAGCAAGTGCATTCAGGGAGCTGGAAGCAGCCAGCACAGGGCTTGTTCTGTGGCAGAGGCTCAGCAAAGTGCTAACTATTCAAGGAAAGATGGGGAACCAGCCTGAGCAAACCAGTGGGGTCTGGTGTGATGAGGTCTGTGGAGGCAGGTGAGGACAGGAAAGTGGGGTGCTGAGCCTGGACAGTGCTCCCCACTCTAGGTGTGCGCTACGGACAGCCTGCAACCAGTGAAGAGGCTGAGGTGCCCTCAAGTAGTGGTGGTCCCCTAGTGACAGTGTCTGCGCCCTTGCACCAAGTGTCCCCCACAGGCCTGGAGCCTAGCCACAGCCTGCTGAGCACCGAAGCCAAGTTGGTGAGTGGCCCCAACCTGTGCAGAAACCCCTCCCAGCTCCATTTTTCATGGCTGGGAAACACTGGAGTGCCCCAGGGAGGCAGTGTGGGGACACTCCAACTCAACCTGGTTTACCCTCTCAGGTCTCAACCACTGGGGGTCCCCTGCCACCAGTCAGCACCTTGACAGCACTGCACAGTTTGGAGCAGACATCTCCAGGCCTTAACCAGCAGCCCCAGAACCTCATCATGGCCTCACTGCCTGGAGTCATGACCATTGGGCCCGGGGAGCCTGCTTCCTTGGGCCCCACTTTCACCAACACAGGAACGTCTACTCTGGTCATTGGTAAGGTAGTGGGGGCTACCACAGAATCTGGGATCAGAAAAGAGCTGCTGGGACCTATTCATTCATTCATTCATTCATCCATTCATTCACACACTTGCTTTCTGAGAGCCTGTTCTGGGTCAGGTGCTACTCTGCATTGGTATAGCAAACACCAAACCAAACAGACCCAATAAGCATAATATAGAAATTATATATTTATTATAAGAAGTCTATGGGAAAAATAAATCCGGGTAAGGGGGTATTTGTTGTCTTATCAGTATTTTTTAAAGTCTAGAAAGCCTTTCTATGCAGGAACTATTATGCGAGTACATGATGCTGTTCAATATTCAAGACACAGGGAGCTGGTGAGATGGCTCAGTGGGTCAAGGCACTAGCTGCCAAGCCTGACCACCTGAGTTCTACTGCCCATGGGACCCATATGGTAGGAGAGACCTGAGTGCTGTCTCTCACATACACACACAATAAATTAATATAACAAAATGTAAAACAACAAAAAGTCATTAAAAAATTATAGGGAACTGCTGGAAGAGGGGTGCAGATAACCAAGCTCAGGACCTTCCCAGTGCTGTGGAACTCCAGGGCTCCAAGGAACCCAGTTTGGCAACCTCTGAACACAGCCTGCCTTTCTCACCAGTCCCTCCACACCTCTTCTAACCCATGGACTCTGGGAAGGAGGGATGGTGCCTCTTAGGAAGTCTGGGCTGGGTCTGTGGGGAGGACACAGGGTGGTGGGTGGGAGGCTTGGCTGACTCCTGCCTGCCCTGTACCAGGTCTAGCCTCCACTCAGGCACAGAGTGTTCCAGTCATTAACAGCATGGGCAGCAGCTTGACCACCCTGCAGCCAGTCCAGTTCTCCCAGCCGCTGCACCCCTCCTACCAACAGCCTCTCATGCCCCCTGTGCAGAGCCATGTGGCCCAGAGCCCTTTCATGGCCACCATGGCCCAGCTGCAGAGCCCCCACGGTGAGTGTCCCTTACTTTGGCCTGGAGGATGTGGGCTGGAGGTTGGCTGTGGGTAGGTACAGAGCAGGGGCAGGTGGCAGGCACCGTGGTCTGCATGTATCTGGTGCAGGTGCACTTGTTTTGACAGTGGGTATCTGTGGGCTACCAACCTCTTTCTGTGTGAATACACACAGCCACAGATATGCACAGGAACTCATGTGAGTGGTGTGAACCTCTCAATGTGTGACTATCCATGGATCGTGTTCCTGCCTTGTGTGTGCATGTGCAGGCCACAGTCATTTCTTTGGAACCCTTGGGGCTGTGCACACCTGAGGTCATGAGATTTCAGATGGCAGAAGGTGGCTTGCGGATGTGCCATGTTACCTGTTACTCTTGGTAGGTTTGAGCAGCAGCTGTCAACAGAACACTGTTGTTTACGCAGCAAAAGTTGGGAACTGTATGAAGTAGATGAAGACTCATGTAGGACGGGGGGTGGGGTGGGGGGGATGGCTCAGGAGGTAAAGTGCTTGCCTTCCAAGTACAAGGATCTGAGTTTCATCCTCTAGAACCTGTATTTCATTTTTTGTCTTTTTGAGACAGGGTCTCCCTGTAGCCCCAGCAGTCCTGGAACTCACTATGTAGACCAGGCTGGCCTTGAACTCACAAAGATCTGCCTGCCTCTGCCTCCCAAGTGCTGGGATTAAAGGCATGCACCACCACTCCTGGCTAGAACCTATATTTTAAAAACAAGGAAGTTGGGTACTTCATGTATCCCAGATCTGGGGAAGCAGAGACAGATGGATCACTGGGGTTCATTGAGCAGCCAGCCTAGCCTACTTGGTGAACTTCAGGACAGTGATACTTGTCTCAAATAAAGCAGGCAATACCTGAGGAAGGACAGCTGAGGTTGTTTACTGCCATCTATGTGCACCTTCACACACACACACACACACTCATGCAGCCTAACACCAGGTCTGCATAACGTTTGCCATCCCATGAGCCCTGGGGCTGACTTTGTGGAAAGCTTTTGAGTTCAGATCTTTAGGACTTCAGCATTAGGATAAGGAGCTATGGACCTGTGGCTATGTACGAAGCTGGAAGTGTATGTATTCGTGTATTCATGTGTATGTGGGTGTTACGCTTTTTAAGCTGTTTCCTGGGAGAGTATGTGGCTACTAGGTATTTGATGAGTGTCCATGTCTCTTGGAGAAGTTGTAGGTGAAATTCTGAGTTGCAAGTTGAGAAATGTCCTAGCGATGGATACTGCTGCCCTCTGCACTGCTTACCTGGAGGCCTCCTGCCTTTCCTTCTGAGGCCTGAATATGGTGCAACAGCACCTGCACTTAGTACAATAGCACCTGTTTGGTCTTGTGGTCCCTGTGCTTAGTATAACAGCACTGAGTTTAGTACAAAAGTACTGGCATTTAGTACAATGGCACCTGCATTTAGTACAGTAGTACCTGTGCTCAGTCTAACAGCGTTTGAATTTAGTACAACATCTACACTAAGTATGACGGGACCTACACTTAGTACGGAGCCCCCATGCTTGGCATATCACCTGTGCTTAGTGCAGTCACTGGACAAAAAGTCCAAGAACTGGAGTTGCTTCCTGGCCTTCCCCTGGCTACCCCCCTTAAGGTCTAGCTGAGCAGATCCCTGATCAGGGAAAGGAGGGGTCCATCTCTCCCATCTGGATCCCCAAGGGCTATTTTGCAGGTCCCATGCCCACTTCCCCCAGGTACTCAGTCTAGAGGTTTTCTGGGATGGGTCCAGGGTGTCATGTCTGTCCTTACTTCCCAGCCCTCTACAGCCACAAGCCAGAGGTGGCCCAGTACACGCACACGAGCCTGCTTCCACAGACCATGCTAATCACAGATACCAACCTGAGCGCCCTGGCCAGTCTCACACCCACCAAGCAGGTAAGCCCCTATCAACCTGAAGCTCCCCATTCCATGCTGAGGGGAAAGCTCCACACTCCACACTTTGGGGGCTCAGGGAGTTGCTCTGGTTCCCCAGGTCTTCACCTCAGACACTGAGGCTTCCAGTGAGTCTGGCCTTCATGCACCATCATCTCCGGCCACTACCATCCACATCCCCAGCCAGGACCCAGCGGGCATCCAGCACCTGCAACCTGCCCACCGGCTCGGCACTAGTCCCACTGGTGAGCAGCCCTCACCTGCCTCTTCCTTGCTGTCCCCCAGTAGGACATGGGATGGTGTGCTTAGTTGATAAGACAGCTGACGGGAAATGCATTCTGACTGCAGAACGTGGCCCAGACACCTGTGGTGTGCTAAGCACTGTGTACAGTGTTTGGAGTCAAACTTACAGGAATACCTGACTCAATGGAGGAGAGTTTAAACAACCAGAAGTTATTCACCAATGCATCTGGCTTGGCTGGGCTCAGGGCTTAGTGTATGAGTGTGTTTCATGCATATGAGTATGTGGGTGCATGTGTCCCTGCCTGTGCATGCTCTCCACTGGAGCCTCAGAGACTCCCCCATCAGTTCCCATGGCTGTAATGACAGTTACTGAGGGCACTTCCTGTTCTAGGACCATCACTGGCCTCATTTTAAAGATGAACAAGTGCACACTCAAGGAAGTGTGTTACATGGTGGTAGAGCCAGGACTTGAACCTAGGCCCAGCCCAAGAGCCCTTCACTTTGCTAGTTCTATCAGTTTGGCAATCTACTGAGACACAGCATCAATAGCACGTACATTATGTACAGGGAGGGACTCATCTGATGGAACTGACTGGCAAAGTTGTACACAAAGGTGAGCATGCCTGTCATCTGTCCAGCAGGCCAGACACTCAGGTGGAAGGAAATCTGATCTCTAGGAAGCTTCCATTTTCTCTCCATATTAAGGTCTCTGATTAGAAATGGCCCACCTGCATAGGCAAGGGTAACTTCTTTTCTTGAAAGCCAATTCACTATTAACCACATCTACAAAATACCTTCCCAAGGGTTGGATGTTTAGCTTTGTAGAGTGCTTGCCTAGCAAGCGTGAGGCCCTGAGTTCAATCCCCAGTAATGTAAAAACCAAAAACATATAGGTTACTGATTTACTTAGCCCAGCAGAGCAGGCACATGGGAAAAATGTACCTGGGAGGCTGGCTGTCTTGAGACTTGAGGGTAGAGGATTGACCCGGGTTCCTGGAATCTGTCGTGATTTGGGTGAGGTTCTGCCTTCCCCCTCCAGAGCATCCTTAAGGATGAGCAGGTCGGGTAGGGTCAGAGGGGACTTGGGCAGCAGCTTGTGATCTCATTTGCCTCTACAGTATCCTCCAGCAGCCTGGTGTTGTACCAGAGCTCTGACTCCACCAATGGTCACAGCCACCTGCTGCCATCTAACCATGGTGTCATCGAGACTTTCATCTCCACGCAGATGGCCTCCTCCTCCCAGTAACCATGGTGACTGCCTCTCAGGAGCTGGGCCCCCAAGAGCCTGCATTGTCTTTGTAGAGGGCCACAGCCACCTGTGGCCTGGAGGACATCTGAGCTTCTGCCATGGGCTGCTGGCCTTCCTAGAAAGCTTCACTTTGGCCCCTACTGCTGCTCCTCCAGCATCAGAGAGGCATGGCTCCGAGATGCACTAGCTTCAGGGCTGCACTGGTTTCACAAGAGGGGAATAAGGGCTGGAAAGAGCCCATCCTTGCTTCTTGGTATAGAAAACTTGTTACCTGAAACTGAATGAAGCAGCCTGTGACTTTGGTAACTCCAACTGGAGCCTGCAGGCCCCAAATGGTTTGTGCTGAGCTCTGAGGCCCTAGAGCATCATGACTGCCTTATGTCACCTGTGTACCTCTAGGCCACTCCCTCCTGCCTCAGCTCCTTCTAGCCAGCAATTCACACGCACAAATTTGTAGATTTCCCAAGTGGCTGTTCTACATCAAGGCCTGGGAGCTGAAAGGAAGACATGCATGGCTGTCCTTGGCTCACTGGTCCTGAGCCATCCCTTCTCCCCAGTCTGTCTCACTTGTAGGGTCATTTGCTCCCTTGAACCTGTATTCCCATGCCAGCCTGCTATCTTGCCTCTATTAGAAAGGCCACTTAAGGGCTAAGCTTGCTACTGAGGCTGCGTGACTCATGCCAAGCCCAGGTCCTAAGGGCATCAGCTCCTCTGGTTTCGGGGCCCTGAAGATCGTTCTCTTGTCTGGAGTGGAGCAGGCGAGACTTGCTGAACTCAGAAGGCAGCAAAGCTTGAGCAGGGGTCTAGAGGAGGGTGAAGACCAGCAGAGAAGCCATCTGAGTAGCCTGGAGGCTGGCAGCCACCGCAAGTCAGAGGTCCTAAGTGCCACTGGGAGGAACAAAGAGGCTGTGTACACCATGAGCATGTGTGTTCTCATCTCCTTGGACCCACTGCAGAGTACCTGGCCCTCAGTTGGCTCCTCCATCTGGGACAGAGGAAGGGAGAACCAGCGCCCAGGCAGCTTATAGTCAGCTATGGGCAAACCTGTACGTTTATTTAACTTTTAGTAAAGTCAATGAGATGTGCGAAGATTGTTGCTTGGTCTTCAGAGGGGAAGGCTAAGGGTGGTCAGGGGCCTGAGGAGTATACTCTTAGAGACACATGCTCACACAGCCTATTTCTCTTGCTCTGCTGGAATGGAGGCAAGGTGACTCCACCTGAATTTCACCTTACCCTTGAGTCCTACTTGCAGAAGACTCTGGTTGCATGAAACCTAGTCCAAGGGCAGTGACATTTCCTGGTCTTGAAGTGGGGGTGAAGAATATCTGGGGGTATCGCTGGATCCCGCTTCTGATGTTTAAAACGCCCCCTTAACAATCAGCACTGAGGGACAGGGGTGTAGCTCATTGATAGAACACTTGCCTAGCATGCAAGAAGCCTTAGGTTTGATCCTCAGCATCAAGACACCCAGCAGCAGCAGCAGCACACTGATGGCAAATGCTTGAAATACTAGCATTCAGGAGGTGGCAGGAGACTGGCAAGTTCAAGGCCAGTTAGTGAGACACTTTCAAAAAAGATCCAAACAAGCTGGGCTGGAGAGGTGGGTCAGTGGTTAAGAGCATGCGCTGCTCTTACAGAGGACCTGGGTTCAGTTCCTAGAACCACACTGGGTGGCTCACAACCACCTGTTTAATTCCAGTGCCAGGGGATCTGATGTGTGTGATCACTTACATGTACAGTCACACACACACAATCTTTAAAACAAACAGAAGTGATACAGCACTGACTCAGTGGTAGTACTCAAGTCTAAGTTTTGGTTTACTTGATAATTTATTTTTTCTTTTTGGTACTGGGAATAGAACTCAGAGCCCTGTGGTTGCTAGGCCTCCACTCTACACTGAGCTATATCCCTAGCCCTCTAACAATTTATTTTCAGTAAAGTGAGCTGACTCAGACACATCATCATGGATGACACGTTCACAAATTTGGAAAGAAAATTCTGGAAAACTGGGGTATGTATGTGTGGCAGGAATCTTTCCTTCTTTTCTGGACAATGTTCCGTTAAGTCTATGTGGGCTGGGAGAGAAGCATGGAAGTTTCTCTGGGTCTCAGCAGCTTGGAGACCTGCATCCCCATTTCCTAAGGCCCATCTGTCACATCAGGCTCGGAAGGGGAGGGGGGCGGTGGAGGTCTTCCTTCAGCTACCCACTTTAGACAGTACTGGAGAGATGGATGCTCTATTACTTGGCTTGTAGTAATATTCCTGAGGTAACAGAATGTTCTGGAACTGTAAGTCTGTCTAGACTAGGTTAGGCTTCTCCTCACATAGCTACTTCTTTGCCCAGATTCTTGGGCAAGCCCAACCAAGATCAGGATCTTGTAGACAGAATGTGAGTTTGAACTCGGAAGACGTATGGCTCAGCTATGCCGTAACCCCATGGTGCTTCCCGCTAAGAGCTGGGGGCATGGTGCTCACAGCCTAAGTCAGTTTGCAGGCACGGCCATTGCACTCTTTGTGGTCAGGCATGGGGAAGCCTCACTGGCCTTCTTGGCCTTTTTCTTACTTTTCTTCTTTTTGGTCCCAAGTGACACCTGGTCACCACTGACCCTGCCCGCTTCCTTTTCCTGTTTCAGGCCAGTGGCTTTGCTGGCAGGGGTTACGGCTGCAGCCAAGGTGATGTCGGCCGCTTTCTTGGCTTTCTTTTTCACCTTCCTTTTCTTCTCCTCCACCCTCTTCTCCACCTTGTCAGGGCAGTGGATGGCTGACTCCTGGAGAATGTCAGAAGCTGACACAGCTGCCTCCCGGCACCGCTGCCACTCCTGGTCACTGTCCTCGCTGTTGCAGGAGAGAGCAGTCAGGTTAGCCAGTATTTGGACAGGGCCCATGGCTGCCTCTTGCTGTCCTCCAGACCACAGGGAGGCAGTCAGATAGCTCAGGCTGGGACAGGCAGACCTGGATTCCGTACCAGCCTCTGTTTACTAGCCATATGACCTTATTATGATATGAGGCTGACTCTGACCCTCAGCATCTTCAGCTACAACATGGGGACCTGAATAGTGCCCAGACCGCACAGGGATTCTGAGGAGGCAAAGATGATAAAGGGAGTAATTTGGTCCAAAATGGATGCTCATGAAGTGCAAAGCTCTAAGGTTCTCCCCAGTACTCTGCACATCCTTCTCCCAGGGCATCATCCTCTTGGTTAACTGACAGGTTGGTCTCTTCCTTTGGTCTGGACCTGTTATTCCTGAGGACCACTCATGACAGGAAAGGAGTGAAAAAAGAGAGGGTGTGAGCTCTTACCTGGAGCTGGGGGGCCGTCGCTTTTGCTTTTGGTGGGGTCTGGGAGAAGCTTCCTTGTCATGGCCTCCAGGGATGGATGTGAAGAAAAGGCGGAAGCCTGAGTCATGGGAGCAGAGCCAATGGTCAACAGGGCAGATGCCAAGCCTCTTCCCCCAGGTGCTAAGGCTGCCACCTCTGTCCTCAAGCTCCCAGTTTAGTGGCAATGGTCCAGTGATTGCTGCCATGTGAGTATAAACTGAGACTTGCCTAATGTAAGGCTTGCTTGACAACTCATGCAGCCAGAGGGGTACCAGCAGTCATATTTGGACAGTAAGCCCTCAGAGGCTTGCCAGAGGTCTGTAATTCAGTCTCCTCCCATGGCAGCCTCCAAAGAGGCCAAAGTATGGGGCAGGATCACACAGAGTAGGGGAGGCCATGGAAAGAGCTTCTACGGGTACCACAGCAGGTGCAGGTTCTTAGAACTTCAGTTCCCTGTTTGCCAATGGGGTATCATCCTAATTCCTGCCTCACAGTGAGGGGTGAGCACATGAAAGAACATAATATACCTCACTGTTCTGCTGGCTCCAGGTATATAGCAGGTGCCTCATAAATGTCAGCATGTAACAGCCTAAGCACTCACCATCATCTTCCCCAGCTGCTTGCTGTGCCTTGTCTTTCTGTGGTTCCTTCACTAGTTCTGAGATGGAGATGGAGCTAAGGGAAGAGGAGATAGCTGACTTAGGTAACAACAAAAATATTGTTGCTTTTAAATTAAAAAAGGTTTTTTTTTTGCCAGGTATAGTGGGACAGGCTTGTAATCCCAGAACTTGGGAGGCTGAGGCAAGAGGATCATGAGTTCTAGGCCAGTTTTGGCTTGTCTCAAAGCAAACAAACAAACAAAACCCCAAATCAACCCAAAAAACAAAAACACATACTACCACTAGCCTCACCAAACCAACACAACACAAAAACAAAAGCATAGCTGGTAAACCCTTCCTTTCCACTTATGAGAAATACAAGCTTCCCAGCAAGATTCATGGAGGGAAATATCAGCCGTCTGGAGAAGTGGTTCAGGGCCAGCCTCTAGAATAAGCCAGATCTGCTTTCTTCCTTCTGTTGTTATTGTTATTATTATTAGAGACAGGGTCTCATTATATAGTCCAGGCTGTCCTCAAACTCAAGATCTTCCTGCTTCAGCATGCCTGGTATAATGATGAATGTTTGTGTGCCCCTAAAACTTTGTCAAAATCCTAATCCTTGAGGTGATGGTATTTTAAGTAGAGGCCTTTGGGAGGTGATTAGGTCATTAGGCATGAACGGGATTCATGCCTTTGTAAAAGAAGTTCAAGAGAGAGGCAATGTCCCTTCCACCGAAGGAGAAGCCAGTGACAAGATGCCATCTGTGAAACAGAAGGGACCTCAGAGATGGGTGTGGGGCAAAATCAGGTAAACCTGTAATCTCAGCAACTTGGGAGATAGAGGAAGGAAGATCAGGAGTTTAAGGCCAGCCTTGGCTACATAGCAAGTCTGAGGCCAGCCTGGACTGCACAGGAAGGAAAGGAGGAAGGAAGCGGGCCTCACTACACAGAGTCGTAGGTTTCTTGACCTAGGACTTCCAGGACTCTAACACAAGGAAGCCATGTCTGTTGTTTAAGGGTTACTCAGTTTATGGAAGTTTGTTATGGAAGCTTGGAAGAACCCAGAGAGGAGCAGCCTTGGCCAGCTTTAGAAGGCTCGCCTGAAGCTGTTCAGCCTGTATTATCAATCTCTGGGCATGTAAGGCAGAGAACATATACAGTGCTGTGCACACAGAAAGCAACCAAAATGACACCTGACCTTCCTCGCCCTCTGGTGGTGAGAAGGAGCTCTCGCTTTGTAGGCTCCTCTCTTTTGGGGTCACTGGGAAGAGGCTGGGTGAGGGGTGCTTGGTGTCACAGTTAGGTTTGAGGACCAGTTCTTACTCTCAAGCAAACAGAATCAGGGCAGCAGTAGGACCAAAGTGATGTGTTGCTTATGAATGCAACAAGGTGATGGATGCCTTAGACACTGAGAGCTTGCAGCCTGCCAGCCATTCGGTCTGTTTCAATAGGGGCAGAAGAGAAAGCATGCTTTTGCTCACCTGTCCAGCAGCTCTCCCAGCTTCCTGGCCACGTGGGCTCGGAACTCAGGCGTGGTCTGAAGCTCATTGCCATCTTGGTCATGCTGGTCCACCTTGTGCCTAGAACACACACAAAAGGATCTTACTTCTGTTGGCTTAGAAGTTGCTCCCATGTGCCTTGCTCCCTTGGACATCCTGTGGCCTAACCTACCACCTGGCACACATGGGACTGAAATTGGTTCAATGAATAAAATAAGCTTCTAATCAAAGCTCAAAGTACCTGAGGCTTGGCTGGGAGGCTGGCAGCTGATTACCTACAGCATCTGTAGAATGAAGAAAAACGAGATAATTATGGAACAAATAACAAAACATTGGCTGTGGGCCAGGTACATTTTAAGTGGTTTTTGTACAGAATTCAAGAAATTTTCCCCAAATCCCCATTTGAGAGGTGACTGTTGTCCCCATTTTGCAAAAGAGGAAAAGTCAAGGAGATATAAAATAATTTGGCCGGAATCTAATAGTTGATTAAAATTTTTGATTTATTTTTGTTTTATGTGTATGAGTATTTTGCCTGCATATATGTAAGTGTACCTGTGTCATGCAATGCCTAAGGAGGCCAGAAGAGGATGTCAGATCTCCTGGAACAGGAGTTAAGGATGTGGGTGCTGGTAACTGAACCTGGGTCCTCTGCAAGAGCAGCCAGTGCTCTTAACCACTGAGCCATCTCTCCAGCCCCTAATAGCTAATTTTTTTTGAGATGGGGTTTTGCTATGAGCCCAGGCTAACCTTAAACTCATGATTCTCCTACCTCCACCATCCAATGGCTGGGCTCATAGGCCTGCACCACCACGCCTGGCTTAACAACTTAGACAAATGTTCTTGTCTTCAGGGGGCTTATGTTCTTGTTGGTAAAGACAGATGATAAACATGTCAATGAAATATAAAATTGGTTAATACCAAGTGAATGGGGGGGGGGAGAAACCCAAAACCAAAACAAAACAGAGGACAGGTGGGGAGTGCTGGATGGGGAAATCTTCATTCAAAGATAGGCAAGAAGGGCTTTATAAGGTAACAGCTGAGTGGATATCTGAGAAAGGTAAAGGGCTGAGCCAAATGGATACCCGGGAGAGTCTTCCAGGCAGAGGGCAGGACATCTGCAAAGGCCCAGAGGCAGGAACCAATGGTGCTGAGAACCAGCTGGAGGTTGGTGTGGCTGGGGAAGCATTAGAGTGGGGAATTCATGGCAGCTAAATCATCCAGGCCTCTCAAGAGGGCCAATGTGAGGACCTGGGCACCTGGGCTCTGAAGAGTCATTGGAGGAGTCTAGGCAGAGGACTTAAATAAACTGACCTAGGTTTTTATAGAGTATCTCTGGCCACTACGTGGAGTGAGATTGAAAGGGTCAAAGGCAGATATAGGGAATTAGCTGCCATTACTGAAGTAATGTGTAAAGATGGAGACACAGGATGTGATGGGCTTGATGCTAGGTGGGAGAGACAGTGAAAAATGGCCTTGAGGTTCTGACTTGGATAATGAGACAAAATGGGCTTGCGCCAACTAAACAGGATGAACACTTGGTAAATCTGAGCCCAACAAAGGGCATGATGCATCAACTCCAGGAGCACTACTATGCCTATGCCATCATGAATCTGGAGTTTGCGTGTCCTGATACACTCTGTTCTGTTGATATGGTCTCAAAGTATCTGGATGCGGGTATGTGGGAGATGGACATGTGGTCATCTGGAAAAGCAGCTCTCATAACTACCGAGGAATGGCGAGGTCCTGCCCTGAAACAACTACAGAGGGGGCCAGCTCAGTTGAGCCTCAGCTCAGAATCCATAAGCTGTGTGCCATTTAACTTCTTTAGCTTTTTTTCTTTTCCCTTACAAAATGGGGATAAGATTACCTTTCAAGGCTGGCAAGATGGCTCAGTCAGGACCTACAGAAGGAGGGAACCAACTTCAGCAAGTTGTCTTCTGACGTCTACAAATGTACCGTGGTACCTGTGTGCATGTGAACACACAGGATAAATAAATAAAATGTAATAAAAAATAAAGTTCACCTTTCATAGTGTTACAATTTCTTTGTTTGCATGTCCATATTCTTCCTTGATTTGAAAAAACATTATTATTATTATTGTGTGTGTATAGGTTGGAGGACAACTTTTGGGAATTGGTTCTTTCCTTCCATCATGGGTTCTGGGGACTGAAATCAGGTGGCAGGCTTGCTTGGCAAGCGCTTATACCTGTGAGTCACCTAGGTGATCTAGAAGCAGGTCTAAAAATTACGGGAAATTTAAGGCAGGGGAGAGAGTAAATTACCTCTTCCTAACATTTTATTGTGAATAAAATACTCTGATGTATCTGTAAAAGACTGTAATGGGGTATGACAATGTGGTGACTTCTTTCGGGAAAAGTAACTGGTGCTGTCAAAATGACTGGCTTGCTGCTCACTTGCATGATGGAAAGAGATGCTAAAATTCTGTTAGAGGTTAATGAACGTAAAGATGCAATATTTTCTCCATTTCAAATTCAAGACCTGCTGGATTCTCTAACCATGACTGATTGGTCTGTGATTTATCCCCAGTGCGCCGGGGAGTCACGGTCGGAAGTAGGTAACTCGGCACAGCTCACTGGCGACCAGTGGGGGCAGTGTGAACGCTGGGAAAAGCAGGATTCGAGATTCAGGGAAGGATCCGTCGAGGTCATCTCTGAGATGATGACCCTCTCAGCGGGCGGTAGCAGAGATGGATGGAAAGAGCGCAGTCAAGAGATACTGGGTGCCTCGGCTGCTCCCACTGTGATACAGCAGCCACCCCGTGCCCCTTTGTGTCTGCGCTACCTCTCTCAGAAGCTCTCTCGGCAAAGATATCAAGACCAGGTGACTCCCTCCTCAGCATCTATCCTTCCAGGCCCCGGGAAAGAACCTCCACCCTTCGGACAGCCCCCTACCGGCTCTCTGTTTCTCTGCTCCCCGCGGGCGCTGCTCCAGCCCCCAGGCCGGCATCGCGGCTTCGCGGCACCGCGCCAATTCCTCTGCATCGCTGTTGCTGCTGCTGCTGCTACTGCTCTCTGAATCGCTCATGGCACCACTGGGCGCCACCATCTTGAGAAACCGCAAAGGATTGTGGGTGGGGGAAAAGAGCGGCTTTCACGTGACCCTCTAGCGAGGAGGCGCGCGAAGCATTGTGGGGATTGTAGTTCTCAAACTGCCATGGTCCGTGAACCGGGTGGCACGGAGGCAATCCTGTAAGGTCCAAAAGATCAACTTCTCTAATTCCTTTTTTCTTTTCTTTTCTTTTCTTTTCTTTTCTTTTCTTTTCTTTTCTTTTCTTCTTTTCTTTTCTTTTCTTTTCTTGTCACTGAGGAC